TTTTTATCCTTTTTATTTTTCTTATTATTTTTATTATTTTTATTTTTCTATATATAAAAATTATCTATATAAAGCAACGTAAGTTGCCTCAAATAAAAGTAACTTACAGAGTTTGAAAAAAACTCTAAGTTCTAAATTGTCTAAGTATTAATACTTTGAAATTCGAGTAAAAGTATTAAGTACTGAAAAATTCTATTGTATTGAAATTAAATCTAAAAACAACTATTTGATAACTTCTAGATACAGATTCCTATTATTAAGATATTGTTATTGTTAGACCAAGCCTATGATAATTCAAGTTCTCGATCTATTTAAATAATAATCATATAGTCTTATAAATAAACTTAAATCTTCATTGTTTAAATCAATAACTAATTATACCAGAAACTTAATTATATACTATGTAACAGAAATCATTCTTATAAAAAAAGTTGAAAAACCAAACAAAAACAATAACCTAAAAATACCTATCTTATAACCTCTGAATAATCTACAAGATCTCTAAAACCTAAACTAAATCCTCCACACCCTCTTTTAGCCTTCTAACTTAGGGTTGATTATTAGATTAGTGTTGATAGTATTGATTGTTTGTAGACCAGATATTGGTGTGACTATAGACCTCTGATCGAGTTCTGTTCCAGAACTAGGTCACACCTCTTCAATATATAATTGTGAATTGTACAATATATATTTAATTTTATCATATCTAATATGTACTATATTTTATTTATTAGGTATAATATTATTTTTTTAATATTAAATAAATAATTTTATAGGGGCTATAAATAGTCAATATTGTACAGCCTATAAATTAATCCCTTACAAACTTGTGTTTGGCCAAATTCTACATTGCGATTCAAATTTAGTTAATATATTAGAAAGTAAAGAGTTATCTGAACTAGTATCTGAAAATTCCCAATCAACTATTATTTCTGAAATTAGTAATGAAACAGTAGAATTGAAACTTGATAAAATATATTTTGAAGAATCACAAGAGTTTTATAATAATATAGAAAGAATATATGAAATCAATAATAATATAGATAAAATACAAGAAATCAATAGTGATATGAGTAATATAGGCAATATAGATGACAATATAAGAGATATGGGCAATATAGTTGATGAAATGAGTGATGTGAGTAAATATAAGTTTTTTTTAATTCTATAATATAAACTTGCAGGGATAACAGATGTTATTCTTTATTTAGATTGATCTTGAATTTCATACAAAAAGGCAAGAATCTAATAATGAAATAGAGAAAATTTGAGAAATTGATAATTATATAGACAGTGAATTAAATTATTTCAATATAATACAAGAGATTCATACTGATTTATATGATTCCAAAATTAGAAGTTGCTTCAAAACAATACCAGTCTCAGAAATTATTAAAATCATTAATTCAGATGATGATCCTTATAAAAATCAACATTACACTTCACAAGAAAAAGAAAAGTAGTATGCTCAATCTAAAGAAATCAAAGTTAAATTCATTTTATTTTTTTTTTTTTAAAAAAAAAAATAATATTAATAGTCAAATATTTTTTTTTTTGTAGCCATTCTGCTCATTTTTTTGAATAGCATAAAAAGGTTCATCAATTAGCAGTTTTAAGTATAAAGAGGAATTAGAAGCTTATATAAAATAGAATAGAAGAAAAATATAGAATTAAATGTCAATGAATTTATGAAACTAGAGAATTTATAAAAATTCATATACTAGATATTGACAAGAATAAAATGAACTGAAGATCATTGCCCTGTAAAGTACTACAAAAAAAACCTAAAATTGATTTATATCAAGTTGCTTGCCAGTATAGAATACTTGAGCATTGGTATCTAGCAAGCAAACTTGAGCTACTTGGAACCCCTAATTATCTCTCTCTTAATGTAGTTCCTCTAAACAAAACTATTTCATTGAGACAAGCAAGCTTTAAGCAAAGTAATGAAAGGTTAAATCAATATTTAAGCCAAAATAATAATAATAATAAAAGAAATATTTTTATTGAGTAAGTACAATAAATTTTACATAATATTTACATAGATACAAACTAAAATTTATAATATAATCTAGTAGTAATAAAAGATTAAATCAATTCTCAAGCCAAAATAATAATGACAATAATTTTATTAAGTAAGTATAATAAATTTACATAATATTTACCTAGCAATGAACTAAAATTTATAACATAATCTAGCAATAATCAATGATTTCATAAAGAAAAAATTCCAACGAAAGCAACACAAAAGAATCTTTCAAATTATTGTCACTGTCAAAAAACAAATTACTATTCTAATGCTTGTTCTTGTTGAAGAAGCAACTTAATATGCACTAGACGCTGTGGTTGTGTTTTACATGGGAAATATAAAAATATATAACTTTTTTAAAATTTATGATAAGTGATTTTTTTTTTAATTAAGCAATTTTTTTTAATTAAGCGATTTTTTTTTAATTAAGCAATTTTTTTTTTTAATTATGGTTTTATTATGATAATTTAATTTATTAAGCTTTTCTTTCTTCATGTAAGCCTTTTTTTTTTATTTATGCAAATTTTTTTAATTAAGCGATTTTTTTTTAATTAAACAATTTTTTTTTAATTATGAGAATTTTCATTATAATAATTTAATTTATTAAGCTTTTCTTTCTTTATGTAAGCCTTTTTTTTTTTATTTATGCAAATTTTTTATGTTAAAGAATGTTTTATAATATAATTAATTATATCGTCGTTTGGACATATAACATGTGTATTTTATAAATTCTCACCAATTGGGAAATGACATACTTCATTTCAAAATTTAAGAATGACCTAGGTCAATTTTGAATTGTGAACGACGCAGAACATTTTCAAGCATCAACCTAGGTGTGATTAGCTAGTGATCGTAATAGTGCACAACAATTTTTCTATTTACGTAAAATTTTAACTAAAAATTTTAATATGCAAATTATGACGCAATTGAAGTTTGCTCAAGCATCGTCTTCGATGCTATTTTTTAGTGATCGTAATAATTCTCATTTACGACAATCAATTAAAATAGAAATTGTAATCAATGCTTGAGCAGTTCTTTATTGATCTTAATATTATTTATCAAATGTCACCGTCAAAAAATAAAAAAGTGAAAAATAAAAAAACAGCCCAACACGAAAGAACAAA